TTCAATCCCCAGGACCCATGTCACAGACAGACAGAACTCTCACAAGTTGTCCTCTGACTCCCACATATGTGCACACACAAACACATCTAATTTTTAGAAGAAATATTGGAATTAAAGTTTTATTTGTTGATGTTAATAGCAGCCTATAATCCAGTTTATAAGATTTATATGAAATGTTCCTTTCACTTATCACATAAGACAAAGTATCATAAATGCTCGGCTTTTCTTTCTACATACATTTTTCTTTCTCAAGCACTACAACAGCTTGATATGGCTTATCCACTCATTTTCATGAGAGGAAGAAACTAAGGGTCAGTAAATCACTTGATCATGTTATTAAGCTACATAAACAAGTTGGCATGAATAGTTGGCACAAATAGGGGATGATCTTAAATTTCAAGGGCTTAGCAATTCCTCTTCCCAATTCCAGCTCACATAACAAGCCAAGATGTGACCAGATGTTCGTTTAGGTTATCATTAAAGTGCATCCAACTTTAAGATTCCTGAATTATAGAATTACTAAGAAATGAGACAGTACACAACCCTTCAGTGATACCTACTATATCTTTTAATTTTAGTATTTTTATTTTTAATAATCTTTGAAAATGAGCTGGAGAGATGGCTCAGAGGTTAAAAGCACTGGCTGCTCTTCCAGAGGTCTTGCATTCAATTTCTAGCAACCACATGGAGGCTCACAACCATCTATAACGAGATCTGGTGCCCTTTTCTGGCCTGCATATATGCAGGCAGAATTCTGAATACATTACAAATATATAATCTTTGACAACAAGTAAGGCTATTCTGGAACTGCAATATGTATAGTGTAACTGAATCAGTCATACAATCCTGGTGCCCAAATTTCTGGCTTGTATATAGGTACTTAATGAACAAATAAAGTGGAATGCACTAGAGAACTCCAAGGAATCTATTCAAGAGCCAGGTGTGGTGCAGGCATCTGTAATCTCAGCAAAGGGAAGCCCAAAGCAAGAGACCTGGGAATCTTTGGCTACACAGCAAGATCATATCAAAACGAGAAGAAAACAATCTGTTCAAGAGCACAGTGGTTTAACAAGTCTTCTTTATAGACTCCATCTGTGACACAGCATGCAAAGCACACTAGCCAGGAGCACAAAGACAAGTAACATAAGCTAGGTTTGCTGCTAGTTCCAATTCTATTATCTAGTTAACCCATTTCAAAAGTTGCAATGTAAATTTTTTTTCCCCTGGCAATGCAAATCTTTCAAAAAAAGAAAGAAAGAAAAAAGAAAAGGAAAGAAAGTTTTGGGCAGGACATGGTGGCATACACTCTAATTCCAGCACTCTGGAAGCAAAGATAAGCACATCTCTAGCAGTTTGAGGCTAGCCTGGTCTACTTAGTGATTTCCAGGCCAGGCAAGGGTACACAGTGAGACCTCATCTTGATGTTCCCCGTGACAGTTCACATAATATAAATATAAATGTGTTTTCAAGATCCTTAGTTTTTATTTATTGTGAATGGGTGTTTTGCCTCCAAGTGCAGCACACCACACAAAGAAGCAGACGGTGCTGGATTCTCTGGTACTGGAGTTACAGAAGGTTGTGAGTCACCATGTGGGTGCTGGAACTGAATCCAGGTCCCCTATAAATGCAACAAGTGCTCTTACTGTTGAGCCATCTTTTCAGATCCCACTATCACACATTTTGAAAAGTACAATTAAACTGTCTTTAGTATATTCATAGTTGTACAATCACATACATAATCTTCATAGTTGTACAATCACACACATAATCAGTTGTGTGTGCATGTTTGCTTTTTGGAGTGGGGAAGAGTTCAGACAGGCTCTTGTAGATAGCCCAGGCTGTCCTGGATCTCTGTAAGTTTCTGAGGCTGGCCTTGAACTGCTGGTCTCTCCTGCTTACACCTTCCAGTACTGAGATTAATGGTGTGTGCCACTAAACTTGACTAATTTCACATTATCCCAAAAGACACCTTGAAGTCACTGTCCACTTCTAAAGTAGTCATTACTATGAGTTTGAAGGACTTCCTTCAAGTTTCCCAGTGATCACATAAGCAATGGATAAAGTAACATGACAAATGATACTCAATCCCCCACCCCTTTACTCTTTCCTTTTGAATTCTAAACCTTGATTATGAATTACCTGAGTAAATTCCACATGTATGTCCATCAGCATTCCAAACCAAACCACATCCAAAACCAGATTATCATCTCCCCTACCAAACCTGTTCTTCTTGAATTAACCCTTTTATTTACTGCCCAATCTTCTTCCCACTCAGCTGAAAATTCTATCTAGCAGTGTCTTTCACTTTCCATATATAAATAATTCCAGCCATTAATGACTTCCCCAAATCATTTACTTCTTCTGTGATGCTGTTAGGTTCCTCAATATCTTTCAACTGCACTATTAAAACAGGCTTCTAACTGGTCACCTTTAAAAGTTACCCTTGCCTACAGGCACAGGTGTGTGGTGTCACACACCTTTAATCCCAGCACTCAGGAGGCAGAGAAGGTGTATGTTAGAGGCCAGCCTGGTCTACAGAGCAAATTCCAGGAGAATCAGGGCTACACAGAGAAACCCTGTCTCAAAAGTCTAAAACTAAAAGTGAATCCCCCCCCTTCCAATCTATCTTTTACCCAAACATTATTTTTCCAAAATACGTTTGTTACCCCTCATATTCAAAGTTTAATATCTCAGAATATTGGTCAAGCCCATTAGGGTAAACCTCTTCGTTGATACATACCCCCCCAAAAAAACTAGAAATTGCACAATTCATCCCAAATTTGACACCTACGAGGTCAAGGCTTAAATTAGAACCTACATCTTCTGATGTTTGGTTGCCCTGCACTCTGCCATACACTACGATAACACAAAGTGTAATTTCTCAATGCCAAACACCAAGAATTGTCCGTCTTTACTTCAAGCTAATTTTTTTTTCTTTTCTTTGCACATGTTACACTGGCCCCTGTGCCAGTGTCTAATGTAAACGTATGAACGCTGAATCCCATCTCAATAATATTTAACTCCCCAATGGTACCTAAGGACAATTCAGAGCCTCATGCGCAAGTGGGATAAAGTTTAATAAACTAATTGGATTCTCTTCTGAGAAACTTGAGGACCGGTTCAATGAGCAAAACACATCCAGGCTACCAGCATTCGCTGCCCACACACCGGCCTGAAGTGGCAGGCAGAGGAGAGATCCAGCCCTGGTCCTCAGGCGTCCCCCCTTCCTGACCAAGGGAGTGGACGGACGCCGGAAAAGGAACCGGTAGCTGTGGGTGAGCTGCCGGCGGGGCCCCGCTGACAAGCCTTCCCGCCAGCACAAAGGCCTCGGTCGAAGGCCCGAAGGTCCGCGGTGTGGGTGCAGTCCGGAGTCTCGGCTCCGGGGACTCGCTAACTCCGGGTTTCTGGGGGCAACCGGGCTCCCGAGCACCCTCCCGCAAAAGCAAGCCAAGGAACCAAAGCAGCGCGCTGCAAATCCTGAGGGGGTAGGGCCGGGCCGCTGGGTTGCGGACCGGTCGCTCCTAGCCCGCCAGACGCCGGGGGTGGGGAGAGCCCGAGTGGGGGCGGCCTCCGGGTGCCCTTTGGGGGCGAACTCGGCTCTGATCCCCAGAGCCTGCAGTGCGCTCCTTCCTCTCCGGGACCACCTAGCCGAGCGGGTGTGGCCAGCCCCAGCCCGGAGCTCACCTTCCAGTCCAGGGCAGCTGGCCGTCCGTCACTCAGTCCCGAATTCCGTCCACACACGGCGTCTTCCGGCTCCCGCCGGAAGCAGCTCCAGAGCGGGACAGGAAGTTTGGCCACCCCCCACGAGCATACCCACCGGCTTTCTTCCCGGCCCGCCGGTGCGTCTCAGGTGCAGGTGCTGACCCTCGGGCAGCTGCTTGGGCCGGTGCCCCCTCCCTCACACACACAGTGGTCTCTGGCGGCGGAGCGGCAGCACCCCGCCCCCTGCCCTTCAGGACTCTCGGGTCGGACAAGTCTGAAACCAGGTCAGCGCACGCTGGCCGTGACGTCACCACCTTCCGGCTGCGGTGGAGGTGTGCGGTGGCGGCGGCGCCAGTGACCGGTGGGCAGCTGAGGAGTTATGACACAGGTAACGAGAAACGGTATTCTCGAAACACCAAAACTCCCCATGAAGAAGAGGACCTGGAATCTTCCCGGCCCAAGAAGGGACCTGCACAATCAAGCCTTGCATTGCCCATTGGACTGGGTGTGAATTTAGGCACATGTACAGCTTTGGGCACATTTTAGATTTCCCCAGAGATCTTGGATGCCCTGACCGACGGTTAAGATACCTGAGTTCCAAACTGCATGACAGTACTTGACGGAACTTTTGAGTGTGACTGACAGCGTGAAATGTAAAGATCTGGGTGGTCCTGTAATCCCATCACTCCCAGCACTAGGGAGTTCCAGGGCAGCTAGAGATACATAGTGAGACCCTGTCAAAAAAACAACAAAAACCCATGGCGTGGTACCTAAGTAGGGGATTAAAGATAGTATCCATGGGAATTAATGTTCTCTTCGGGAGTTTATTTTAAGTGTCTATAAATAAAACTGGTACCTAAACGAGGTAGTATTAATAGTGTGGGTACAAAACATTACGGGTATTCTGTGGGAAAATAAGTCCTCGGTACACAGTTCCATGATGGGCACTGAGAAGCATGGCTGAAACCCATATGAGAGTTGCCATAAGGACAACTGGGCTACACAGTATCTGAGAAAAACCTTGGGACGGCAAGGCAAAGAAACGTTTACTAGGAGCTAAAGTCCTAAAGTTCAAGCAAGAATTAGAAAACAGAGTACACTTGGGAGTTACCAGGATTTGAAGGTGAAGAACCCTCCAGAGAGAAAAACTAGTCCAGGGCAAACAAGTGTGTAAAACAAGTGAGACAGACGCAACACTAGATTGATTACTAATACAATTTAAGTATGTTTATTGCAAGTGTCACATATAAAGTACATTGGATGTGTAAAAAAGTGGCTGTAAATAAATCACACTTAAAAAACATCTTCAGGTTTACTTTTCTGAAGGTTGAGTTACAATTAATAAAACAAATGAGGTACATCAATATATCTGTAATTTTCATGCCTATAATAATTGATTAATTTACTCAGTCCTATCATTTTCTGAAGCTTTTTTACTTGGGGTTGTTGGGAGTGGGGGTTGCTATTAGGGATTAACCCCAAGAGCCGTAGAATACTGACCAGAATTCTGCCCTGATCTCTCTCCCAACCCATTTTAATCAATGAAATTCCAAGTGCTCTTTATAACACTAACACTCCAGAGGTACACAGGCAGGTGGAGATCTTTGAGTTCCGGGCCAGGCTGGATTACACAGCAAGCTACATAACAGAATATATATATATATTCCTAAAGTAAACACAAGTTTTTGTTAGGCTTGCTACACAGTAATTTGGGTGTAAAACTGGTCTCTTGAGTTCCCCACTAACTTAACTGACTTCATTTATCTTCTCATACCACTCCTAACCCAAAACTGTTCCACAATCTGATACTCCCAAATGCTGCCCCCAACCCTATGAACTTGTACCATTAAAAGTCTCTCTTCTGGCTGGCTGGGGAGAGATAGCTCAGCAGTTAAGAGCACCTGCTACTCTATCAGAGGACCTGCATTCAAGAACCCAGCACCTACATGGCAGCTCAAAATTCTCTCCAATTCCAAGAGATCCAATACCTTCTTCAGGCCTCTGCCGGCACCAGGCGCATATGCATGTGGTGTACAGGCAGACATGTAGGTACATAGTACTTTTAAAAATCTCTTCCATATAAAATATGGAAAGCCCATCTCAATTCTAATACTCTTATTTTAAGAAACATGTTAAAAATTCCCCCAGTTCAACAAACATTAGCTGCTGCTGATCTTAGGGTTAGTAGGATGCTTTCTCAGTTTCAAAAATAATTTAAGGTGTATATGTACTGTACATTAACAGCTGTGTTAACTGTCTGGGGTTTTTATAATATTTGAGTATAGTGAGTAGCATGTGCCTGGAATCCCAAGGGATCAGTCCAGCCTGAGCTATACTAACAGATCCATTTCCAAAATAATTATTATTGCTAGTTATTATTACAAGAAAAACAAGTCAGGCAGAGTGGTATATGCCTGTGACCCCAGCATTCAGGAAGCAGGGCCACAATCACAAGTTCAAGGCCAGTGTGGACTTCATATTGAGATCCTATCTCAAAAATAAAAGAAAAACAGATGATACTAACTTCAATCTACTATGGCAGTGGTTCTCAGTCTTCCTAATGCTGCAACCCATTAGTACAGTTCCTCATGTTGTAACCTCCAACCATAAAATTATTTTGTTGCTACTTTATAACTGTGGTTTTGCTACTGCTGTGAATCATAATGTAAATGTCTGATATGCAGTATATCTGATAGATAGATTACTCTAAAGAGGTCATAATCCACGGGCTGAGAATCACTGTATTATGGTTAGCAATCACATTAGATACATAGTTAATATATGATACTGAAGATAAAAAGGTTATGTAAATAGGAAAATATGATCACACTTAAATCAAGAACTATCTGTACTGTTAGAATAGTTTTTAAATAGACCTTAAGAATCTGTGCAAAGTGGGGAAAATTAGGGCTTCCTTAATGAAAACACACATAGACTACAGAGAAAAGTCTTCTGAAATACAGACGATCTGCTTCCCTATGTTGCCTCCCGTCATCATGGACTGGAATGCAACTGAAAGAAAAAGAAAGTTTGTCTGAAAAGAGAAATGTTACTATGTATTTGTTAGGAGGTCTGACATACAAAATTAGCCGAATAATTTCTTCAGTGACTTTTCTTTTTTGTTTGTTTTTTGTTTTTAGCCTTGGATGTCCTGAAACTCACTCTGTAGACCAGGTTGGTCTCAAACTCACAGAAATCCACTTCCCTTGTCTCCCTAGTGCTGAAATTAAAGGCACACACTACAACCACTGGGTGGTGGTGTATGCCATTAATCCCAGCACTCAAGACAGGTTCAGTGATAGCCTGGTCTACAGAATGAGTTCCAGAACAGCCAAGGCTACATAGAGAAACCTTTATGTACTTCCACTACCAGGATTATCTGCCCTACCCAAGTTCATGGGGCCAAGTGACCGTGAACTGAACCTCTAAAATCATGAGCAAAATAATTCCTCCCTAAAATTTTGTTTCAGGCATTTTGTCACAGTGATGAAAAAGTAATACACATATTAAGTATCACTAAAGTGAACTCTAATTGCAATATATAAGGAAACCTACAAATATAGGACAGTTTCACAGGGAAGAAATTAATTTTTATTTTATTTATTTATTGTTGTTGCTGCTGCTGCTGCTGCTGTTCTTTTGAGACAGGGTTTCTCTGTGTGTAGCCTTGGCTGTCCTGGAACTAGCTCTATGGACCAGGCTAGCCTTGAACTCACAAAGATCCACTTGTCTGTACCCAAGCTCTGGGATTAAAAGTATGTGCCACCACTACCCAGTTTATTTATTTTTATTTATTTTTGAGACAGTCTCATTAGCTAAGAATGACCTTACATTGTCCTGCCTTTACTATCTGAGTTCTGGAGTTATAGTGGTTGATAATATGCATGATTTGTACACTGCTTCATTCATGCTACACAAGCGTTCTGCCAATTTACCAAATCCTCAGCCCCAGCAATAAATTATTAACAAGAAAATAAGATGGGTGTGGTGGCAAATTCCTGTAATTCCAGCCTTTGGGAGGTCAGGAATTTAAGGTCAGCCTCAGCTACCTACTAAATTCAAAGCCAATCAAGGCTACACACTGACCTAGTCTCAGAAAAGCTCTGCTCCACTCCCCTCCTTCCCCACCACAAAAAAAGGAGAAACAAAACAAAGGAAAAAAGAAATAGCTGAGTCTTAGGGCCTTGCCTAGCATGCACAGGACTCTAGGTTCAGTCCTCCATCACTGCATAACAAAAGCACAATCTTTCAGTTAACACAGATCCTCTGTCTCAACAAAGGAAAAAAGGGGTGGGTGGCTAGGGTTTAGCACAGTGGTAAAGTGTGCTTAGCATGAAAGAGGCCACAGATTCATTCTCTATAACATAAAAAGAAAAAAAGAAAAAAACATGAAAAGTAGCATTAGAAGAAAAACCAATACATTGAGCACATGTATGGAATAAATCATCTTACCTCCCATGTTTTCCAATCCATTTATCACAGTCTCTTTGATCTGTTAGTCAAAATAGCTATAGTTAGGGTTAATGGTTTCCATAAAAGAAAGCAATACAATTTAGAACTTTGTGTACAGTAGAAAAATCCTAATCTTAAATTCTTGTTGTCTGATTGTTTAAAAATTTTTTCTTACATTTATTTGTTTTGTGGGTGAGTGCATGTGTCACAGCATGCATGTGGAGGAAGTCAGAGGACTACACATCTGCTTTGCTACACGGCTGCCATGCCACGGTTCAAGTAGGCCTGAGTTTCAGTTTACCCTAAAGAAACGCCTGCCTCCAGAAAAAGACCACAAACTAAGACCACCCAAGCACCACTCAGGAACGGACCACCAAAGGAAATTCCTCATTCCTAACACCTGATGTCCCTTAGCCCAGCACACATACCCACCCCCTTTCACCAAGACACCTCTAGACAAATGTCAGCCAATCAGGAGTCCTGAACCTTAGAAATACCTCACCCCAACCTCCGCTATGATAAAAACCCCACCCCAATTGAGCTCGAGGCTCTGCTCATGCTAACCTTGTTGGACAAATGAAGAGTCCAAGTTCAAACTTGAATAAAGGCTCTTTGCTTTTATATATGGGATTTAGTCTCCTTATTGGTTTTTGGTAGACTCTGCAATCTGGTACTTGTTCTGTAGACTAGGCTAGCCTTAAATACAAAGAGATCGGACTGCCTTTTCCTCCCTGGGTTTTAAAGCATAAGCTACCATTACCAGCTCAGTTCTATTTTTCTACCACATGGGGATCAAACTCAATTCATCTACTAGGCAGCAAATGTCTATACTCACTGAACCATCTAATTGCTGCCCTCCCATCCCATCTATTAAACTATACAGGCTGCATAGCTGAGTGTGACCCTGAATTTATGGTCCTCTCCTGCCCACACCTCAGGCCTGTGCCTACCATTGATCTGTTGGTTTTCTGTTTGTTTGTTTGGTTGGTTGGTTGGTTTTTTCCCCCTGCTGGGGTAGAATAGGCTTCATGCAGGCTAAGCAAGTACTCTACCAAGTTACACCCCCAGTTCATATACACCCTCTTGAGAAAAAAATTATCTAAATGTACACAGATACAAGTTTGCCTACCATATTCATGTTTCAAGAACATCTTATATGGCACCCAGATTAATAATTTTTAGTTTCATGCAATGGTGGCACATGCTTTTAATTCCAGTAATCAGGTGGCAGAGATAATTGGATCTCTGAGTTTGAGGCCAGCCTGATCTACAGAGCAAGTTCCAGGACAGATAAGGCTACACAGAGAAACTCTGTCTCAAAAAAAAAAAAAAAAAAAAAAAAAAACAATAATAGTAATAATAGGGTGGTGATGGCTCACATCTTTAATCCCAGCACTGGGGAGGCAGAGGCAGGCAGATCCCTGAGTCTGAGGCCAGCCTGGTCTACAAATAAACCCTATCTCAGAAAACAAAAATCTAATATTAATAATACTTCTAATTTTCCCAATAACTAAAATCAAAATAACCACAAAAGAACTGAATATTAAAAGGATACTTACTGAAATCTATAAAAATCATAAGGAAGGGGCTCAGCAGTTAAGAGCACTGGCCACCTTTCCAAACAACCTAGGCTCAATTCCTAGCTCCCACATGGCAGCTCACTCCTGTCTGTAACTCCAGTTTTAGGGTTTCTGACACCCTCACATAGACACACATAGACACCAATGAATAAAAAATAAAAACATTATATATTAAAAATCATAAGGAAATAGGTTATTTTAAACCAAAGTAACATAATTGTACTGCTGAGTTTACAACTCTTCTGTACTTCTAAAATGCAGTGATGATTCATTCTAGTTATATAAAATTTAACAAATTCCCAGTTTAAAAAAAAAATCTGAAGATCGTTCTGGCATGTGCTTATACAACATTTTATAAAACACAATTTCGGGGCTGGAGAGATGGCTCATCAGTCAAGAGCACTGGCTGCTCTTGCAGAGGACCCAGGTTCAATTCCCAGCACCCAGCTGGCAGCTCACAACCATTTCTAACTCCAGCTCCAGAGGATCTGATACACTCTTCTGGCCTCTGTGAGAGCCAGAGCAAGCAAGTGGCATACAAACACTGTTGTTAACAAAACATCCATAGATAAAAAATAAAATAAAAAAGAGCTCAGAATTTCTAAGTGTAATTCCATAAATATTTGTTAAATTAATGAACATTACAAATTTAGATTTCAGGAGAAATACCTATTGCCTTTGTAAATAATCCATGGAAAGTAAAGATTAGTTTAAAAGATTTATTTTTATTTTATGGGTGTTTTGCCTGCATGTATTATAGTATGCACATGTATGCACCACTGTGTGTGTGGCCCCCTTGGAGGCCAGAAGAGGTCACTGGATTCCCTGGAACTGGAGCTATGTGGGTACTGGAAACCAAATCCAGGTCCTCTGCAAGTGCTCCTAACCACTGAGCAGCCTACAGTCTTGAGCTTAATAAAATATTGCATAAAGGTAATAAAAGAAGGTTTCTCAATTAGGAGATTATAGTCATCTGGGAGGAAATTGTATTCAAAGATTAACTTTAAAACTATGTATCTGTGTGTATGTGCACACGAGTGTGGTTGCTTAGGTGGTCCAGGGAGGGTCACAGAGCCCCTGGAGCTGCAGTTTCAGTCAATTGTGAGCAGCCTGACATACAAGCTAGAAAGCAAACTAGATCCTCCGTAAGAGCAACATGTTCTTTACCACTGAGCCAATTCTCTAGTCCATCTTTTGTAAGAATATTTTGTAATGAAACAAATGTTTGCTATAGTAAAGTCAAATAAAATAAAAGTATGCCAAATGGAAGAAAAAAAAATATACTTTTATAGTTAATAGAAATTTGGACCGGGGATGTAGCTCAGTTGGTACAAGACTTTGTTAGTCCTGGGTTCAAGTCCAGTACCACATCAATTTGGCATGCTAGAGCATGCCTATAATTCTGTAATTCTAGCACTAGTGAGGTAGGAGGCTAAGGGTTTAAGGTCATTTTCAGCTATTAAGTTTAAGCCCAGCCAGGGACACTTGAGACCTGGTTTCAAAAAACAAAAAAGGTTTTACCTTTAGTTTTCCTTCTTTAAACCACTGACTCAGCAGTAGCAATCCAGGCTGAAATTTATCTTTATAATTCAACACAGTAAATCTCTCTCTGCAAGTAGAAAATAAAAGAATAATGATTAGAGAATATTTCAAGAGTGAGAACCTGAGGGTGGTGAAGGTGCATGCCTTTAATCCCAGCACTTGGGAGGCAGAGGCGGAGGATATCTGTGTGCTTAAGACCAGCCTAATCTGTAAAGAGAGTTTCAGGACAGCCAGGGCTATTAACAGAGAAAACCATGTTAAAAAATAAAAAACAACAAACTTAAATCTTTAAAAATGGCAATACCCATGAGTCTTTAAATTAGCATATAACCAGGCTGAGTCTGGTCAGATACAGTTTCCGGTGTAGTTAAGGGGTAAGTACACTGTTGATATCTGCTCATCATCTACAGCCCTATTTGGCAACAGCATTGTGGTTTTTCTTTGTGGATAACATTCTTCCCCTTCTTTCACATGATCTCATCCAGTCAAAGCCAGAAGTACCAGCTTTCTGAGAACCATTTAACCAAAATTTAAATAGTGAATCTCCTTAAATACTTTTCAACTTTATTTAATAAGGAAAACACTAAAATGAATACATTTCACAGCTATGAAATTTAACGCCCCAGCTCCTGTGACAGTAGTAGTAGTAGTAGTAAGGACAAAGGTAAAGAACGCACCTTGTAATGTTTCTTTCCTTCTGGATTGCTTCTACAGCAGGGGACAGCGGAGGAGGATAAGGCACATCTTTGTTGTACTGAGAAATTTGCCCACACAGGATGATGTGGCTGTTCTGATTCATCTATATAGAGAAACACTGAAGATTACACCCTTAGACACCTTTCCTATTGATGGATTTATGACTATATCAATAAAAACCTATTTAAACACCAGACTTAAACCTTTATTGCCAATTAATTTCATTTTGAAGTTTATCTGTTTAAAAGTGTTTTCACATTTTTAAAATGTGTTTGTGCATGTGCACAGGTACAGGCACCTGCATGAATTTTGTTCACCACGTGTGTGCAGGTGCATGTGAAGGCCAGAAGGGGGCCTCAGATCCCCCTAGAACTGAGTTACAGGTGTTTTTGAGCTGCTGATGTGGGTGTCAGGATGCAAAAGCAGTAAGCACTCTAACTGCTGAGCCATCTCTCCAGCCCCTACAAGTTTTAAGTCCACTCTGAAGGAATACAGAATAAAAGTTTGGTAATCATCAAAAGAATTACATTAGTTGCCACTGACCTTGCTGCTTTTTTGTAGTGTAGCCTGGAGCTTTTTTGGGGATGTGAACATCCAATGTAGTGAGTAGCCAGCTAATAAAGACTTTCCATTGGCTTAAACCCATGTCTCTGGTGGCTACCCACAACAGATACATGCATATAAGTAAGTACATGTGCCTGATGAGGCCAGAGGGGTCAGTTCTCCCTGAAGCTTGAGATACAGGTGGTTTGAACTGTCTGGCATAGATGTTGACATAGAATCAAATGCAGGTCCTCTCCTGCCTTTGACCCATCTCTCCAGTCCAGTAATATATTTCTTTATACTTAAATAATATAATCTCAACTGCAAATAATTTTACATACAGTCAAGAAATATTTATTCTTATTATCAACTGTTGATATTTTACTACACTGTCAATAAAGATACATAACTTCTATAATCTATGAAAACCATCTCCCAACCCAGGGTTATGGCTGCAAGGTGATTGGTAGATGGCGAGTTACAGATCAGAATCTCACTATTTCAACTGTTAATTTTTCACAAGAGTTAATTGAGGGTGAAAATATATTGCCAAATAGGAACTGAAATTCAGAACGTAAATGTGTAATCAAATGAAAGTATCAAGAAGATGTTTTGTATAACAAATACATTAATCATGATATTTATCAAAATGAACACTATAATTTTATAGCTCCCATCAGTATCAACCAAAACTATATCACAATAAATAAAATATAGTATCAGATTTAAAACAAACAAATCAGCAAACAACCTGAGTTATCACTGTATCACTGATGTCACCTCCAACATTGTCAAAGTAAACATCCACTCCAGCGGGGCAGGATTCTCGAAGCTGTTCTGCTACATTCCCTTTTTTATAATTAACTGCAGCATCAAACCCCAGTTCTGAAGTCAAAAAGAGGCATTTCTCATGCGTTCCACAAATCCCTACCACTCTGGAACAGCCAAGCAGGTGGCCAATCTAGGAAGGAATTTTTTTGAAAATTAAATGACTTTATAGTCACACAAGCATAAAAATGTCAAAGTGCACAAGATATTGCAAGTAGAAGAGAGTATCTATCCTGGCTAATCTTTATGTCAACTTGACATGAGCTAGCATCGCCTGGGAGGAGGGAACTTCAATTGAGAAAATGCCTCCATAAAATCTGACTGTGAGCGAGTCTGTAAGGGCGGGAGGGCCCAGCCCAGGCATTGTAGGTATGCTACCCCTGGGCTGGGGGACCTGCAGTCTATGAAAAGGCAGTGAATAGCATTCCTCCATGGCCAGTGCCTCAGCTCCTGTCTCTGGGTTCCTACCCTGAGTTCATGCCCCGACACCCCTCAGTGGTGGACTGTTCCTGAAGTGTAAGCACAACAGACTCCTCCCAAAGTGACTTCTGGTTGTGACATTTCATCACATCAATATTACCCTGAGACAGTATTCATCACAGTGCTTTTAATTAAAACACTTAAAGTGTGGTGACACATCCCTTTGATCCCAGCACTGGAGAGGCAGAGGCAAGTGTATCTCAATGAGTTCAAGGCCAGCCTATTCTACAGATAATGTGATTCTTCAACAATAAAATGTAGTTTTAATTCACAACTTTAGTGTAATTTTCAAAATAAGTAATCAGATCCAAAATATCACCCTTAAAACTCAATAATTTTCAGGGCTGTGGAGAAAACAAACGGTAGCTAAAAAACAGTATTTTGTTTCCCATGCTATAAAAGCTACTGTGTCAGTTACTTTCTGTTGTTGGGATAAAATGCCATAACCAAAAGCAACTTAGGAAAGGGAAGATGATTCGGGTGTACATTTCCTGAGGGAAGCATGGCAACAAGCAGTGGGAATGGTGGCAAAAACAGGAATCAGAGATCACTTCTTCAGCCACAGCAGGGAGAAGAAAAACAAAATAGAAGTAGGGTGAGGCCATGAACTCTTAAAGCTGCCCCCAGTGACAGACAAGCTTCCTCCAGCAAGGCTACACCTCCCCCCCCCCAAACAGTACCACCAACAGGGTGACAAGTGTTCAAATACCAGAGATTATGGGAGCTGTTTCTTCAAAGCACCACGGTGATGGCTGAGCTTAACTGCCAACTGGACAAGATCTAGAATCGCCTCTCGGCATGTCTGCAATGACTTATCCAGCTTAGGCTAACTGAAAGGGAAGACCCACCATTCCACAGGCTGGGGTACCACACTGAATACACAAAAGAGAGCAAACTCACTGCAAGCATTCACTGCTTTTTGCTTAAGTGCTGTTGCAATGTGACCAGTTCCCTGGAGCTCCTACCATCATGGTGTCCCTGCCATAATGGACCATACCCTGGAACTGTGCACCAAATAAAACCCTCCTTCCTCCGGGTGCCTTTGTCAGGCATTTTATTACAGCAAGGAGATAACTAATATAGTTACCATTTATAAAACACTGAACTTTGTACAGTTCTTTCAAAATATTTTATTACATAGCTACAATTCAATAAATGCTTTTCGCACTATTATTACCTTAGCACTTGGAAGGTGGAGGTAGGAAGTAGGAGGAATAGGAATCAGGCCAGCCTAAGCTACATAGTAAGTTTGAGGCCATCCAGGTAGACAAGTGACTCTTTCAAAATATACATAAATAAGTAACCTTTTTGAGGAAGAAGAATTTCTTTTCTTCTTTAAAATAAGACTTTAGCCAGACAGTGGTAGCTCACACCTTTAATCCCAGCACTTTGGAGGCAGAGGCAGGCAGATCTTTGTGAGTTCAAGGCCAGCCTGGTCTACAGAAGGAGTTCCAGGACAGCCTCCAAAGCTACACAGACAAACCGTCTCAAAAATAAATATAAATAAATAAATGAAACAAGAGTCTAATTTTATGTTGTTACTTGGTAAAGGCAACTGATCATAGAATTTCATGCATGCTTAGCAAGGGCTCAAACCATTGAACTACAATCCAACATCCTTCTTTATCATTTTTTTTTTAAAGATGTGTAACACAAATTCTAATTGTTCTTAGTAATAAAAACTCAGAGTCAGATATTGGGGTTAAAGCTGAAGATCAGAGAAGCAAATTGGTCAGCCACTAGAGAGTTCTCACCTCTATCAACGCTCAGATCAAAGGTGTGATCCTGTCCTCAGATTGCATCTCTAGACTGCATCTGTGTCCACCAAACCTCAGACTGCACTGAGCTCCTGTCTCCTGCCTTATATTCATTCCTCTCTAGTGCTGGGGTGAAAGGCGTAGGATCCCAAGTGCTGAGATCACCTTCCTGTGCGCCCTGTTTCTCTTTTAGACTGGGTCAATTTCATGTAGCTCAGGCTGGCCTTGAACTAACAGAGATCTACCTGCCTCTGTCTCTTGAGTGCTGGAATTAAAGGTGTGTGCCACCACTGCCTGGCCTCTGTGTCAAACTAGTGTGGCTAGCTTTGCACTCAGATCTTCAAGCAAACTTTGTTAGACCATAAACAAAGAAATCACCCCATGGTGTATTTATGTGTGTGCTCTGGGTGCATATATGTATACGCTTGATGTGCATATCTGGTGCCTGATAAGCCAGAAGACATCACTGGGTACCCTGAACTGGAGTTATAGAGTTCCAAGCGATTCTGTGGAGCTGAGAACTGAACCTGGGTTCTCTGCAAGTGCAATGAGTATTCTTAACAACTGAACCATCTCTTTCACCCCTGCTTGTCTGCCTTTAATTCAAGGAATTACAGACAGATCTCTACGATTTTCATCCCTACGTAAACGGCAGAATTACTCTATTATTTGCCACATCTCTTTTAGTTAACAGAGACACGAACCATTTTTTTATACTGTTATCAACAGAATCTAAACAGGTAATAACATTTCTGCCAACAACGTACGAAGTAATGATATAATAAAAAAAATTAAAATTAAGAGGTCTGGAGAAATGGCTCAGTGGTTAAAAGCACTTACTACTCCTGTAGAAGACCTGGGTTTGGTCTGAAACACCAGTTCAGCAGGCTCACAAAGTCTTAACTCCAGTCCCAAGGGATCTAACACACAAACATGCATGCATGAGCTCACACACAAAATCAAACAAAAATAACAAATCTTTTCTTAATTAAGATCAGTTTTACCATTAACAACTTCATATATGTGTATCCTATAGTTTGGTTGCAGTCAGCCACATTCCCTTTCTCCCCTCCCATTCCTCTAGAATCCCTTCTTTACTGTAACAGGTCCCCCTCCTACTTTCGTGTCTTTAAAAACAATAACCATTAAAGTTTAATCAATGTTGCTTCCATGTGCACGGGTGTGAGGCTATTTGCTGGATCATGGGCAACTTATAAATTGCTAACCCTAAAATTAATTAGTTACTTTTTGTGACAACTTTTATGCATTCTGGGCTGGGCTTGAATTCACTTAGTAGCAGAGGATGACCTAGAACTTCTGATCTTCCTCCTCTACTTCATAAATGCTGAGATTTCAGGTGTGTAGCACCACACCTGTTTTGTGTGGTGCAAGGGATCAAGCCGGGAGCTTCAAGCATGCTAGACAAGCACCCTACCAACTGAGCCATGTCACCATCCCCAATTTTATATCCTTAATTATGTACGTGGATTCTGTGATCTCTTCATGCCTTCTATTTTAGAAAAGTAACGTGTGGACACTTTACCTGTCCAGCCAAAGACCCGCAGGCACCTGCTGCTCCACTGACCACCATTGTCTGATTGGACCCAGCAGATATGTGACCTTTTTCTTGTACTCCAATCAGGGAAGTCAAACCAGGCATACCTATAGCTCCAAGAAAATATGAAAGATGTCCATCCACAAGTTGTGGGTCTACCTGAAATAAAAGATGTACATTTTAAACAATGCTGAAACTACAGTTTTATGCCAAGAAGTTAGAGAATTATAGACTGAAAAGTATTTCACACCCAGTTTCATGTTAAGTCTCTATATCCCTATAGGTATACTGGATCAAGTCTTTTAAGGTGATATTTGAGGTTAAATGAGGTCATGAAGTTGGGGATCTAATCCAATATATGTATGTCATTAGAAGGAGCAGATGTAATACCCCTTACTGCCTGGAAGGGCACTGGATGACACAGCAAGAAAGCATTTCCCTGCAAGCTAAGAGAGACCTTACCAGAAATTTCCAGAAACTCAATCCCACAATAGGAAGTGAGTCCCTGATGGTGAAGCCACTAGATTGCATGGTATTTTTTAGTAGTCCATTCTTTGGTCTTGTTAAGATTCTAGCATATTTGTAAACAGTAAAAACAAATGAGGGCTAAGGGGATGCTCATTCAGATTCAGTAAAGCACTTGCTTTGCAGTCATGAGTATCTGACTTTGACCTCTAGAACCCTTATAAAAATGTCAGGCAGACTACCTCACTCTCAGGAGTGAGAGGAATAATTCCCAGTGTTCGCTGGCCATCCAATCTGGCTCCATCTCAAATGGTGTCAGTGGAGGTAAAGAGCACTCCTGAAGGTGGCACCCAGAGTTGTCACCCAACCTCCACATACGCGGGCAATGAACACCCACATACATCACAGACACTTACACAGGCACACAATATATATGAATGGAAAGAAAAAAGAGCCAGGTGGTGGTGGCGCAGACCTTTAATCCCAGTACTTGGGTGTCAGAGACAGGTGGATCTCTGTGAGTTTGAGGCCAGCATGGTCTACAGAGGGAGTTTCAGGACAGCCAGGACTACACAAAGAAACCCTGTCTCGAGGGGGAAAATGATGTAGTGAGATATCCACCCTGCCCACACCTGTTGCACTGACCATGACGCCCATTTGGGGTTATGGGAACAGGTGTGGATGTGACTGGTGGGGGCTAGGTCTAGGGTCCCAGACCCCAGCTCAAGCTCGTATTTCCTGGTTGGAGACAAAGAGCACCGGGGGCATCCTTGGAGCAGGAACTGTTTCTGGTGTAAGTGATTTCTCCCCAAATAAACATCCATCAGCCTACACTGTGTCCTGAAATCTTATTTCCCATGCAATAAAAAGAAGGGGAAGCAGGTGGATCTCTGAGTTTGAAGCTAGTCTGGTCTACAAAGCAAGTTCTAGGGCAGCCACATGACACAGAAAAACTGTCTCAAAACAAAAACAAATAATTTTTTAAAGATATGGGCCATGATGACATTCAAAGTGGTACAAAAGGCAAGGGTTTTTATCATTTTGTTGCTTTTAAAATGCTGGTGATTAAACAAAGGCTTTCACCCAGAACTGAACAAATGTGTACCTCTGAACTAAACTGAACTCTACCCCTGTGGCAAGTATTTTAAAGGCAAAATGAGGAAAGTCATTTTAAGACAGTATTCTTGACTGCAAGGCTCAATACCTAGGATACTATGAAGCGAGCAATTGACACGTCAGCATCTTCCCTACAGGTGACCTTTGTGCAAGGTTTTTGTTCTTAGAATCATTACAACAGTTCTTTTTTCTCTTTAAAACAGCCAGCTTTGGCTGGCCTGGAACTCACCCCTGTAGACCAGGCTGGCCTGGAACTCACAGAGATCCACCTGTCTTCGCCTCCCGAGTGCTGGGATTAAACGGGTGTGCCACCACACCCAATTCTGAAATAGTTCTTAGTCACAGTTATAGTTTCCTGGGAGCCCTTCCTTCATGGCTCCTCAATCCGTTGTTAAGTTTGAAAAACGAGAAAGTGGTAGCACGCATTAGCAACTCTCTCAAACTAATTAAGAATTTGTTATTATATAAAAATACTAAAATTTGGACAGACGGTGGTGCACACCTTTGATCTCAGCCCATTGAGAGGCAGAGGAAGGTGGAGCACTATGATGAGTTTGAGGTTAGCCTGGTCTATCTACTGACAGGACAGCTAGAGCTATGTAGAGTGCCCATCTCCAAAAAACAAAGACAAAACAAATTAAACAAACAAACAAAAAGAGAAACTGGAATATAAAGAAATACGATATAGCCAGGTGGTGGAGGCCCACACCTTTGAGGCCAGCACTGGGGAGGAGGAAGCAGGCAGGTCTCTGAGTTTGAAAGAAATGAGGTATCTTCCCTATGAACATCACTGAGGTCAAATTATATACAGTAGTGAGGTTTTGTAGGTGAAAACAGTACTGGTCATTTTACATGGCTCAATGACTGATCTCTGATTTCTGACATGAGATGAATTTCAATCATGGATATAGTCCTCTTGTAACTGCTTCTTAGGGAACGCTAGCATATATTTAACTATTTCTAGTTCTTAGCATTAAATATTTTTATGCTTATAGCTCAGCTTTCTATTACACATTCAATTTGAGATGATAGTGTTGTCTGGTGATAAGTGATAACCAACAGTAAACAGGACAAAACTCTCCACATTTTGGCAACTATCTTAAAAAAAAAAAAAAAAAGATGTTATTCACTCTCTAACAAAATAATATGAATGCAGAAATGAAAATAGGAAGAAAAATCAGAAAGTGTTATACCATACATCACCTTTTCAAGGCCATTCCCATCCAGAATTGCTTTAGTTTGCCAGGGCCAATAAAAAGAGGTCACAAAATCGCCTTTAGCCAAATTTGTGTGTTTGCTCTCTTCTATAATTCCAATACCTCCGCCATCAACCACCTGAGACAACTGCCAAGGGGCTAGATAATCAGTGCCAGTGTCTTCATTCATCTTACAGCGCTGCAGAACAGAGAGCTGTCATTAAAGGAAGCTTAATTTACCTGATGCAAGGCATGCAAGTCTCTTACTCTAGCCCCCCTTTTTATTTTAATTCTGCAAAAATTGGGAAAACCATGTACCAATAAAGAAATAGAACTGAACAGAAAATCAGATCTATTGCAGAGTATGCTAATCAAAACAGTGTAATACTGGCATTAAAACACACACACACACACACACACACACACAAAAGACGATTGAGATGTCTGAGCAGGTAAAGGCACTTGTCACCAAGTCTGTCTGACGACAGACTTGTCGATGGAAGGAGGAAAGAACCAACTCTCAGAAGTTGTCCTCTGGCCTCTACATATGAGCCATGGCAGTCATGCATGAGCACATACAAGTAGGCAAAAAAAAAAAAAAAAAAAAAAAAAAACCAAATACACATAAATGTAGATTTTAAAAATTTAAAAATAAGTAGAACTCATTTGGGAAACCATCTAGGGCCCAGTTTTTCCTTTTGGAAGTTTTAAAGATTCAATGTTGGGTGCAGCAGTGTGTGTCTGTAAACTCTGCCCTGGTGGGGCTGGGGGCTGGTGCCCAGCAGACCCTGGAGCTTGCTTCCCAGCCAGTCAGTACAAGCATGACAACCTAAGTTTGATCCCTGAACCACATAAAGGTGAAAGGAGAAAATTGGTTGCACAGTGGTCCTCTGGCCTCCACATGTATGCCTTAACACATGCACATGCATACACACACTGATTTAAAAAATAAGGTGGTGCTGGAGAGATGGCTCAGTGGTTATAATTAATACAAATTGTTTACAAACTCAAAGATGGAAGGTAAAATACTCCAATTTATTTTATAAGGATAGTGAGATAGATGGCTCAGTAGGTAAAGGTGTTTGCTGCCAAGCCTGACAACCTAAAATTGGTTCCCAGAACTCAAATGGTAAGAGGAGAGAATAGACTGTTGCAAGTTGTCCTCCTGCCAACTCACAGGCACACACACACAAATAATATAATAAACCATTTAAAACAACAAGAAGAAACCAGGTGGTGTCGGCACAAGCCTTTAGTCCCCGCACTCAGGAGGTGGAGGCAGGAGGACCTCTGTGAGTCTATGAAACTGCACAGAGAAACCCTGTCTCGAAAGGAAAAAAAAAAAAAAAAAAAAAAAAAAAAAAACAGACTTGGCAGGCAGTGGCGGTGTCCCTTTGATCCCAGCACTTAAGAGGAAGAGGCAGGCAGATCTCTGAGTTTGAAGCCAGCCTGGTGTACAAAGCAAGTAGCAGGACAGCCAGAGCTGTTACACAGAAAAACCCTGTCTCAAAAAACCAAACCAAAAAAGTAAACAAACCGTTTAAATACAACAAAACCAGAATTGGCAGATTCATGCTTGCTACTTTCCAAAATCACTACAGTCATAATAATCAAGGTAAACACATAAACACACATGTTAATACTGGGATAAGATTTGAGTCTAGAAGTAAGCTTTCACTTGTGTCTCAAACTTGCAGCGACCTTCCTGCCTCGGCTTTCCAAGTGCTGGGGTGCAGGCATGAGCCACTATGTCCAGTTCATGGTCAACTGATTCCCAACAAAGTATAGTCTTTTCAACAAATGATACTGATGCAATTCATATCCACCTGCAAAATATTGAAGTTGAACCCTGTGATGATTCATCTGGAGTGCCAGTGGGGGTTGTAGTTCAATGGTACAGTGCTTGCCTAACATCAAAGGCCTAGGTTCACTCCCCAGCACTACAAAAAAGGGGGGAAAAAAGAAAAAAGAAAAAGGAATAAAAAAGATTTAATTTTAGATGTCTGTCTTACTAGATTGAGATCTGCCCACAAGGCACCATCTAGGGGCTGGATGAAAAACCAAAACTAACCTGGAATATGGAAGAACCCTCTCCTTATCTGGAGTGGAGACTTTTCTTCTGCCCTTAGACTTCAGAACCACAAGTTCTTTGGCCTTTGGTCTTGGATTCACATTCCCAACAGACAATTGCAGCATCCTCCCAGCCTCCGAGGCCTTCGGCCTCAGAGTAAGACTTCGATTATCTATTTCCCTGGTTCTCAAATCTCCTTCACACTTAGATTGAGCCAGAATACAGACCACTCTGGTTTTCTGGTTTATAGATGGACTTTTCAGTCTCCTTAACTGTGTTAGCTGATTGCCCCGACAAATCCCGTCTAATTTATCTATGTCTCTATAATTGTATCTATCTCCTACAGTTTCAATTTCCTTGGAGAACTATAATATAGATCCCTTTCTCATACCACATACAAATAATAACTTAAAATAGACCACACGTCTAATTTTAGAGCTAAAACTATAAAAAACTTAGAAGAAAAGTTAGGGTTAAATCTTCATAATGTTGAGTTAGACAAAATATGAGACCAAATGTATATGACAAAAGGAAAAGTAGTAGTAAACTGGACCTTATCAAAATGAACAACTTTTGTGCTTTAGAAAGAAGTATGGATTGTACAAATAATCCATAAAACAGGAGATAATTCTTGTTTTGGTTTTTCAAGATAGGGTTTCTCTGTACAACAGCTCTGGCTGTCCTGGCTAGGAGGTTAATTCTTACAGAAGAAATATGAGATTATTGAGTGCTAATATCTACAAAATAAAGACTGCAACTCATTACTACAGATAATTTTTTAAATTTTTTATGAAACTTGAGACATTTTTCTATTTCTTTTTTCAGATTTACTGTTATTTTTAATGTGAATAAATGTTTTCCTGCATGTATGTACACCAAGTAAGTACCCAGTGCTGAAAAGTTCAGAAGAGGGAATTGCACCCCCTGTAACTGGAGCTACAGACAGCTGGGAGTTACTATGGTGCTGGGAATAGAACACAAGTCCTCTGCAAGAGCAGTAATCATTCTGAACTGCTGAGCCATCTCTCCAGCCCCAAATAATTCAATTTTAAGATTCTCTAGTATTCAGGGTAGATATTTCTTCAAAAAAGACATTCAACTGGCCAATAATCACATGGAAATATACTCAAAATTAACTATCAAGAAAAAGAAAAAAAAGTCACAATAAGATACTTCTTCACACCATGTAGAATGTCTATTCTTCACACAACATAGAATGTCTATAAGTGTTAAAAAGACAAAGTGTTAAACTGTGCAGGTCTCTAATCCCAGCACTTGGGAGGCAAAGGCAGGCAATCTCTGGTAGTTTGAGGCCAGCCTGGTCTACGGAGTGAGTTCCTGGACAGCCAGGGCTATACAGAGAAAATCTGTCTTAAAAACCACCACCAACACCAACAACAAAAAGACACAATTTCTCAAATATTTATTAGTCATACAGAAAGAACAATAAAACTCTGATACAATACAAGAATAGAACCATTTTCGTCAGCTTGCCACACCCTGCTTCTTACCATGTACGGGTCCACAGAGAGATAGAGAGTTCTAACTTGAACTTGTCCTTCCTTGATATTATCTGGTAAACTGACTTCTTCCATTCTGAAATTGTCTGCCACTGGATTACCATTTTTTCCTAAAATTTCAAGCAAAAATATGAAGTTAAAACATTGGCTTTTTTTTCCTCCAGACAGTCTCACTATGTAGCTTTGGCTGAGTTCTCCAACTCAGAGAGATCCCATGCTGGGATTAAAGGTACACACCACCATGCCTAAGAAAAGAAAGTCACCTTCTCATAATTTATTGTTTCCTAATGCTACCCCTTAGGATTTAAAGTACTCCCTTTTCATTCAAACAAGAATAACAGCATAAAATTTTAAATAGTTCCCATTACTTTTGAATTTAAATTCAGAAATACTCTTGTAAAGTAATTTTGGATTTTAGAAATGATTACAGGTAAATAATATACTCTGTTTCGAAATAATAGGAAGACTCTGGAAAGGAAAAGCCCACTCTTTTGTGTGATCTGGTGGTGGTGCACGCTTTCAGTCTCAGCACTCGGGATGCAGAGGCAGTGGACGCTGGTTTGAGGCCAGCACAGTCTCCAGGGTGAGTTCCAGGCCATCTAGAAATCTTGAGGTATAAGAAAAACGTCTAAGCAGAAGCTATCATCACTGAAGTGTATTCATCTTGAATTATGTTTACTATGGGCAAACTTAACCTTTCAAGAACCATCCAAGGTGGGATCCAATGGAAAGGTCTCAGGCTAACTGTTCTCAACACAAAAACAAGGCAGAAAACACGGCAGGCAAGCAACAAAACGGCCACAAAACAGTAGGCCACACCTATGGTTCTATGATCAGGTAGATATCAGTATTGATTTAAGCTGGTATACATCACAAAAAAACAGAAAAACAAATTTTAATAGTTAGTTACACCTATCACAGTAAAAAAAATACAAAATTATACACTTTCAATATAACCTTTCAAATATAATGATTCAAATGGCCTTGCAAAGTTAACATCTTAAAACTGAATATGACATTATTTAAAAAGTTTCATAGTTTCATCTATTATATTTACTAGCCTTTTTTGTCTGTTTTTGTTTTTGACACAGGGTTTCTCTGTGTAGCTGTGGCTGCCCTGGAACTTGCTTTATAGACAAGGCCGGCCTCAAACTCAGATCTGAAATTTACTAATCTTAATTTACTACCTTAGTTAACCACACTGCTATGTTAGTTTTTATTCTTCCATTTCAAGTAATAGTTACCAGAACCCAAAATTGTTCATTTACCACAGAATAATACATACCAGGTCGGGAATTCAATACCACTCTTTGTATAATCATCACTACTTGCGGTGGTCTCACAAGATTTCTATATCAAATAATTCCTATAATTAGAAAAAAATCATTAGAAATATATGAAGTAATCAATTTAAAAATATTTAAAACTCTTGAGTTCAAAGCCAGCCTGGTTTATAGAGTGAGTTCCAGGACATCCAGAGCTACACAGAGAAACCCTGTCTCAAAAATCAAGGAAAGAAAACTTAAATTTCATATGTGCAGCTGGGCGGTGGTGGTGCACGCTTTTGATCCTAGCACTCAGGAGTCAGAGACAGGCGGATCTCTGTGAGTTCAAGACCAGCCTGATCTACAGAGCAAGTTCCAGGACAGGCTCCAAAGCTACAGAGAAACTCTTGTCTCAAAAAACCAAAAAACAAAAACTCCATATGTGTTTCTGAGTGGAGAGGAAAACATCATATTTGGAATCTAAAAAAAAGCTAGAGATTGCTCAGTGGTTAAGAGCACTGACTGCTCTTCCACAGAAACAGGGTCTTTCAGTTCCCAGCACCCACACAGCAGCTCACACTCCAGCACTGGGGATCTGACACTCTCTTCTGTTCCCATCAGACACTACATGCATGTACTATACAGACAGACATACACACAGCACAACACTAATACACATGAACTGAAAAGAGCAAAATCTAACGTTATATAATACTCTCCTGTCAGTTTGCTTCCTAACATAAATATATGGAGAAAAACAACAACTAAGTCCAATTAGAATTCTCAGCTAATAGGATTAAGTTCACTGAAGACTGAAAGAGAAGAAAAAAAAGTGGCTTGGTTAGGTTAATTCTGAAAGGGTTGTCTTCATGTCATCAAGATTCAGTATTTTACTAAGACTTGATTACAAACAAACGTACAACAACAAAAAAACATTTCCTGTCCCTCCAGAATTAGGCAATTGGTCAAGATATATATATATACATACATACATACACCACTAACCTAGGAACTGGACATGCAGCTCAGTTGTAAAGCATCTGCCTAACATGTACAACCAAGACGGAATCCCAGACACCAAATACCACAGAACAAACTAAAAACTTAACTGCTTGGACAGCAAAATGGCTCAGTGGGTAAAGGCTCTGGATGCCAAGTGTAATGAGCTGTGTTTGATCTCCAGGACCCACATGACTTCCAGAAGTTACCCTTTGATCTCCACACGGGCTGTGGCATATAAATGGCCCTAACACCCACACAAAATAAATTTAAAAGTTTTTTTTAAACAACGTTTTGTTGGATATAATGGTACACGCCTTTAATCCCAGCACTCAGGAGGCAGAGGCAGGCGGGTCTCTGTGAGTTTGAAACCAGCCTGGTCTACAAGAGCTAGTTCCAGGACAGCCTCTAAAACCACAGAGAAACTCTGTCTCAGGAGGAAAAAAAAAGAGGCAGAGACATGTGGATCTCTGGGTTCAAGGCCAGCCTCGTCTACAAAGTTAGTTCGAGGACAGCCAGGGTTACACAGAGAAACACTGTCTCAAAACAAAAACAAAAACCCTCTTCAACTGTAATATTCATATCTGTGTATGCAGATGTACATGTGTACATATTGGGAGCCAGAGGTTAACCTCTGGTGGTGTCCCTTGGTGCCATTTACCAAGACAGACTCTCTTCATTAATATGCAGCCTATCCATTAACTTCAGGGTGGCTGGGAGCCCCAGAGATCCACCTTCTCAGTGCCTGGATTACAAAGGAGCTTTCATGGGTTTGGGGTAGGTTTTTGCTGTTGTTTTGTCTTACATACTTATGGGGGGGCACATGTATATGTGGTGGTCAGAGGACAATTTAGAAGAGTCAGTTCTATTCCTCCAACAAAGTGTCAGCACAGGAGAGATGGTGGCTCAGTGGTTAACAGCACTTGCTGCTCTTACACAGAACATGGCTTCAGTTCCTAACACCCACATGGCGGCTCACAACTATTTATAACTACAGTTCCAGAGGATCCAGTACCCTCTTATGACCTCCTTGGACACAAGACACATACTTGATGCACATCCATGCAGGCAAACCTCATACACATAGTATATTTTTAAAAGCCGATGTGTTTAGGCCTGAAGATACAGCTTAATGGTAGAGCACTTGCCTGGCATGTATGAGGTCCTAGGCCTGAAACCCAGGACCCAAAATAGAACTGAATGCCTGATTTTGGTAACATTCATTCAGTAGGGTAGGATGATGAATACAGAAACACATTCTAGTCCTTTAATTTTTCTAATGTGCATACTGACAATCTCACCAGTGGTGGCAGAAATGGGTAGTTGCTCTCAAACCCACTCTTTCCTATGGGATACATGTCATCAGGATAAAATTCTTCCCATCGTTCTCTTAAAGCAAATCCCACTGCTATCCTGTTCCACTCAAAAATTCCTTCCGTTAAGTTTCTCTACAACACAAACACTACGCCATTATTAGCAGGATCAGCAGCACAGGTAACCTCTTGCCCCCTAACATCTAGTGCTCAGTCAAACTGCCCAGATGCCTGGTGGATGTTTTTACAGTTGACGACCAGAAAATCAGGACTCAGGGTTCACACGCTGCATAGGGGGCTCACATTCCTATTTCATATCATTGTTGCTTTGTTTCTTCCCTCTTTTGACTGTAGGATGTCCTCAGTGACTTCTACTTTCTTCCCTTACTTGAAAGTAGTATTTAGAGGCCTGGTGAGATTTATTTCTCTTCCCCCCCCATGACTGGCAACTGCACCAGCTCCTGACACACAGGAGACAAGTGCTTCAGATTCTTTTTTTTGGGGGGGGGGCACAGGAATCTTTCAAGGTGGTGTTGTCTCTATTATTCCATCACATCATTTAGTCAGTGAGGACTTTTTATGGGGCTGCTGTGTCCAAATCCCTGAGTTCCAATCCAGTGCTTCCCTTGCCTCAGCCTAACTAGCTGGGACTACAAGTGCATTTCATCATGCCCAACAGGACACATTTTCTGTGCAATCACCATGTGTAGAAATCACGAAAGAATTAAAAAAGCAAGTTTATTCCAATTCAGTTGGTCAGACTGTCCCTGAGTGGTTACTAATTATACTGTGATGGCTGAATTGTCAAAGGCGTATTTCCAAAGTGGTCTCAGTCTTTTTTCCTGTGGCTGTGATGGAATCCCCTGACAGAATTATCTGGAAAGGCTTACTCTGGCTCACTTCAACGGTTCACCATTGGAGAGTCACAGCAGGTGCTTGAGGAAGCTGGTGACAAGACACCCAGTCAAGAATCACAAACAGTGGATGCTGGTGTCCAACCAGCTTTGTCCTTTTTATTCGATCCAGGACCCAACATAGGAAACGGTGCCACCAAACTTTCTACTTCATTAAACTTAGAACCAAGCTAATTCCTCACAGGTATGCCCTGAAGCTTGTCTCCTCAGGGATGCCAGATCCAGATGATCAGTTTCCTATTAGTTCTCTACTGTCAGCTTTATTTCTCTAAAATATGCTAATCGAGCCAAGTGATACCTTCCTCCTGAAATCCCAGCACCAGGGAGGTAGAGGCAAGAGAACTAAGTTCAAAGCCAGCCTCACCTACAGAACAAAATTTGAGGCCAGCCTGGACTACAAGAAATCCTGTCCAAAAAAAAAAAAAAAGAAAGAAAGAAAAAGGAAATAACACAGTATACTAGTATACTATAGCCAGCATGGTGATATATGTCTGTAATCCCGGGACTCCAGAGGCTAAGGACACCTAGACTACATGAGCGATCCTAGCTCCAAAAGAAAATCTATGGCTTGGCACGTAGCTCAGTGAAGTCTCTCCAAACTCACACAAAGCATTCTGCTAACTCTGCACCACAAAAAGAATGTGATATGACAGGTCTGCCTAAACACTGCTCATCATCATGAAAAGGGTACTATTATAGTTCCTTCTTTTTGTTTCAAATCAGAAATCCTGACGTGCCAAATACAGCTAATAAAGGATAACTGCAATATCTCTCATCATCGTGAAAACAGACACACTCAAATTATACCAAAAAAAAAAAAAATCCTTGATTTACTCACAAATTTCCCATCTAAAAATTTCCCATCTAAAATAAGCAGAACAGATTCAAGATCTGAAGGGCATTGGGTTAAGAGTCATGGGGGGGGGGGGGGACACGACACGACCTCAGACCTCAGCAAATCCCATTTGCCTGTTAAATTAAGTGGGTTTGTAACTGGTGTCACTATTCCAAAATAATACCACTGGGTAGTCATAAAAAAAATGTAGCAGCCTAATGTAAGGAAAACCTCCCTGAATTCACATATTCTGTTTCTAGCCAAGTGGGACCTTGAAAGAGTCTTCTCTGAGTTTAGTCCCCAAATGTTTCCAGCTTCCCAAAAACCGGGTGAGTTTTGCTTGCCCTGGACATGAAAGTGTACATTTGTAAACCTAATCCTGGGCAGAACTGGGATAGCAAATTCAAGGCCAGACTGGAGAAGATCATGAGAAACCTGTCTCAAAATAAAAATGAAAAACTAGAGATATAGGTCTGTAGTAAAAAAAAAAAAAAATCATTTGTTTAGCATGCATTGGGGGGGTGTCCCTGGGTTCAATCCCCAGTACAGAAAAAAAACAATTATTAATTAGCTTGCTTAAATACAACTCCTTCCTCAAATGTCACCACGATGGAGTGGTGTCCTCTTCCCAGAAGATACAAGACTGAATGACTTGCCCAAGGTCACACGACTCGCACTCACACTTGAGCTCCTTCTAACCCACTACTTTACAACAGGAGCTTCCTAACACGATGCGGCCGAATCCAGACCCGATACCTTTGAAGAAAACACGCCTTGTGTTCAGCCGTATCTTGTCCAACCCTTCCCTCTCTACCTCCATGTGAGAATCCCTACATGGTTCTTCCCTTCCTCGGAAAAACCCAACCACTTGCGCAGAAGTAACTAATAACCTGGCCGGGATTTCAAGCCGACTGCCCAGACCCTCAGCACCAAGAGGATAAAGCTGTGTCTGGTTTTTACATGACTTAGGTATTTCCGTTATGCACACAGTAGGTGCCCAATCGATGCTCAAACCCGAGGCAACTCAAACAATCATGCCCGGACTTCATGCTCTTTACC